GTTAAGACCAGATATCCAACTACATTTAGTAGGAACGCAGATAGCTACGATTGAGGATTTATCGGCTACTGCACAAGAAGTCGAAATGCAGTTAAGATTTGTCCAAGGTGAACGAGAAATTGGAAGACAGACGACCGAGAGAGAGCTGGTACCTTTTGGAGGACGTCCGAGATCAGCACAGTTTACTTGCCGTTGGTGTAGGGGAAATCATTTAAATCGAGACTGTCCGCGCCGCGCCCTACCTGAGCCGAATTCGACAGAAGGTCGAAGATTGGAAGCAAGAACACAGGGAGGTAGTCAACAGACGACAAATCGAGCTCCACCCGGACCACCACCTCCGGAAAATCCCCGTAGACAGGAAAACTAGAAGCTGCCCTCTGCTGTGGAGTCAGTGGGGGGCAAATCTCAATGGACTCCATACAAGAACCGGCCCAAAATTGTGACCTACCCCGAATAATGATTAAGTACCATGATCATGAGTTGATTGCTTTAATAGACACAGGGGCCACGAATTCGTTCTTAAGGGCGGAATATTATAAAGAAAAGAAGCCTGAGAAAGGAAGATGGGTATGCTTGGCAGACGGAAAAGAAGTGTGGGCCGAAGGTCCTGTGGATGTCCCAGTGCGAGTAGGAGGATGTAGTACATTGATAAAAGTTTATTTGATAGAATGCCTTCGTGAAGAAGTAATATTAGGTATAGATTGGCTATGCGCGGAGGAAGTAACCCTGGATTACCGGCAAGGCGGTATATATTTCGGAACCCAGGTCAGAAGAGCCGTTTATTGGCATGTGACTAGGCGGGAGGAGCGGTTATACACGCCTATCAAACTGGAAGAAGAGAATTGCCCAAGTGCGTGGATACCGCACTACGAAGGTGTATTGAACGACTTTCCAGAAGTCTTTCAAGAGGACTTACTCCAGCCGTGTACCAATTTGGTGAAGCACACGATTAGGTTACGAGACAGTAAGCCGTTTCGAATTCGAAGGTTCAAATTCTCACCCGATAAGAAGGCAAAAATTTCACAAGAAGTCATTAGAATGTTGCAGGCCGGTGTTATCCGGAGGAGTCATTCCCAGTATAGTTCCCCGATTGTACTGGTTAGGAAACCGGATGGCTCCACCCGTTTCTGCATTGATTACCGTCAGTTAAATTCAATAACCGAGGACGAAGTTTCAATACTGCCTCCCATACCGGACATCTTAAAAGATATCGGCGAAGCCACGATTTTTTCATCTTTTGACCTTCGTAGTGGTTACTGGCAGGTGCCAATGTCAGAAGAAAGCATCCCGATGACGGCGTTCCATACACCCGAAGGGGCGGCTTACGAGTTTGTCGTAATGCCCTTCGGATTGAAGAACGCCCCATCGACGTTTCAAAATTTGATGTCGGAAGTCCTGTCAGGTTACATAAACGAATTTGTCTACGTCTATCTTGACGATATAATTGTTTACTCCAAGACTCGAGAAGATCATAATAGACACCTAAGACTTGTATTGGAACGATTAAGATGTCATTCTTTAAAATGCTCAATAACGAAATGTAGGTTTGGTACCGAGACGATAAATTATTTAGGACACCGGGTTACTGCGACCCATAACGAAGCGCAGGCTAAACATCTAGAAAAGATCCAGACATTCGCCAGGCCAACCACTCAAAAAGAACTGCAACGATTTCTCGGAGTTGCTAATTGGTTAAGAGAATACGTACCGAATTTCTCGACGATTGCCGTTCCTATGACTCAACTTTTGGGAAAACGGAAGTTTGTATGGACACCGGACGCGGAAGAGTCATTCCAGAGATTAAAACGAGCCTTATCGAATCCATTGAAATTACACCGCCCAAACCATAGGGACCAATTCATACTACAGACCGACGCTAGCGCTTATGGTATGGGCGCCGTGTTGTACCAAGAGGGACCTAATCATGAAAAATTTGTCATTTCCTGCGCCAGCGCCAAATTTTCTCGCGCAGAAATGAAATATCATTGCAATGAGCAGGAGGTGTTGGCGGTGGTCTGGGCAGTTCGAAGATATCGACATTTACTAGAAGGAAGAGAATTTATATTACGGTCCGACAGTCGAGCGTTAATGTGGCTTGAAAAATATCGGGACGACCGTGCCAAACTCACCCGGTATGCCTTACTGTTACAAGAATTTAAATTTAAGGTAGAACATTGTCCCGGGAAACATAATGACTTGCCGGATTTTTTAAGTAGGCATCCAGGTGAGGAAGTCCTGATGCCCCTAGATGAAGAACGGATGAGCCCACCAGCACCTTCTGTCAAATTGAGGAGACCTGAGCAAATAGTGTTACAAACGATGGAACCAAATCCCGAAGAGAGAACCCCGATATCCCGAATACCACCAGTGTTTAGGCAACCTTTAGAGTTAAATCAGATCGATGACGAGAACCTATCATTGTACGAGCAAATAGTCAGGGCTCAACGGGACAGCCCAGAGTATGCGGCCACCCGGATCAGAATCCCACGGCTGCAAAACGGGGAGGAACCCGCGGACATAGAATGGAAGAGGACACTCCGTGACCAATATATAGTAGAGGATGGTCTAATCTGGTATAACAAGGATGGCAGACGACGATTGGTGGTACCAATTAATTTTTGGCGGCAAGTAATTTATAAATTTCACGACAGCCCAGAAGCTGGGCATCCTGGACGCGATGAAACAATTAGAGCTATGTCGACTTTGTACTACTGGCCGGCGATGAGAAAACAAACGCGCACATATGTTCGATATTGTTTGATCTGTGCGGCGACCAAGCGCGGAGGCGCAAACCAGGAGAACGCACCTTTGAGGCCGAGACCGCCAAAGAGACCGTGGCAGGTGACAAGTGTAGATATTATGGGGCCATACACAAGGACTCTGCGCGGAAATCGCTTTCTTATAGTTCTCTCGGATGTGTGCACGAAGTGGCTTGAGGCTATACCCGTCGCGTTGGTTCGTCCGCGAGTGATGATCGGGTTTCTAGAACAGGTATTTCGTAGATGGGGTTATCCCGAGACACTTATAAGTGATAACGGACCTACCTTCAAAAGTAATGCGTTTGCCCGATATCTACGGAATAATCATATCGAACAATATTTTTCGCCAGTTTATCAACAGCGCGCTAATCCTGTGGAGAGGCGCAATCAAGAATTAAAAAAACTTCTTCGTGTACATTGTCAAGCCCAGGGTGAGAATCGTTGGGACGAGGCCATTGAACAGTCATTATTCACGTTAAGGAATCGGGAAAACAGTGCGATAGGTGTGAGTCCCAGCGTCGCGTTATTAGGTGCTCCTCTCGTGCGGCCGGGGGAGTGGAGGCACCCTGAGGTGCAGCGTCCGATTCAAAATGCACCGAATGAGCGCGAGGAACGGTTGCGACTAATTCAACGGAGACAAAGCATATTTAATAGAGACGTATACCCTGAACAACGAGAACCGAAGGTACAGTTTAACGCGGGTGATCGGGTATTAACGCGAAATCCGGTTGGAACGCGTACTCCACTCGGGCTACCGTGGGTCGGACCTTACGTTATTATCCGAGTATGTGGTCACAACGTCTATGAGGTCGACCGGAGAGGGATTCCGACGTTAATGCACGTCGACGATTTGAGACCGTGGCCGAACCGAAACCAATGGAGAGAAAACGGAGAAGACCCCATGCATCTACCAGCCGAGGGAAATGGAATTCCCGAGGCGCCCGTATTAGACCCAATCGTTGAAGAAAAATCTGATCAAATACACGATAGAGACGATCCAGTTGACAGCTCCGACGAAGAAGTAGAGGGCTCCTGGTCTTATCCGGACTCGGGCCACGAGGAACCGACTAGAGGGAGAAGAGAGGAGGCAGTCCCTACCACTGCCCGTCAAAGGCTAGTATTTAAATCTCCTCATAAAATTGATACTACAAAAGTACCCCTTGTTCCAGCCTCACCGCAACCCGGACCGTCAGGAATGCAGAATAAACGACTCACCACTATACAAGCAAAAGGAACTTGCAAGTTAGAATCGATGATTCCTTCCACGTTCGGTCCGGTGATAGAAGATATAATAGAAAAGGATTTTTATCCGAAATTTACTAACGCTATTCCTATTGTGGGGTTATACCCCTAAACTATTGAGAAGTTAATTACAAATTTAATGTTTTTTATATATTTATTACCCAATATATAGAATTGTAATAAGAAAGAATGTAATAGACTCGTGGTGGTCATTCATGGTACCACTCGTCTCTGGAGGGGGTGGTGTCGCGGTCCCGTGAAGATCGCGAGCTAGAGAAAAGTGGCCGGAAATCTGCAATGAACTGCTTTTGTTAAATGGAATGTAATGGTTAAATTTCAGTCGATACAGTGTTATCCGCTTGATAAATTAAATCACGGTAGAATCGCGAGTGAAAAATTACGAAATTGGGGAAAAGTCGGCGTTTTAAAAAAGAAACGACTTGTCAAAAAAAAGGTTTTGGTTCGACATTGACAGAATTGAAGTCAGACGGTCGATTCCACGAGTGATAAAGTTACGAGCGATACGCGGTGTTGCGAGAGACAAAAGGGACCAATTTAAGATATAACGGGTGCGTCGTTAGTGCCACCACGGGTCTACCACAAAAGAAACTTATAAGTGAACCTGGGAATATACGCGTTCCTGCCAGCGTGTCGAGTTTTCTTCTTTAGCAATAAGAATCCTTGCCAGCACCATTCCTTAGTGTGACCCATTAAACCCAATGGTGAGAGATTTGAAAGAATTAGATATATTTTAGGCTTGAGTTGAGTAAAGTGACTTTAATAATAATAATAATAATCATAGATAGTCCTATAAACTAAAGGGCTAAGGACCTGTAGTGAACTTATACCGAGCCATGCCAGTGGTAGCAGACCCTAGCAAGAACGAATAAACGTTAGTGGAACTGCGAAATTTAAATAAGTTGAAGACTAATACAGGGTGTTATAGTATCGCGGTAGGATATTAATAGAAACATTGCACGAATTAGTGCCTGCTAAACCATGACCTCGAGAAGGCGTGAGTTTGCTTGCGCTTCTCGCGTAGAGAACAATCTAGAGGAGGAACAGCGGGAATCGTTCACGTCAACTGAATCCCTTGAAGGGGTATTTGAGGAACCCAGCGTCCCTGCAAGCCACGGAGAAGATTCAAGACCAATTTCGGGTCCTAATCGACCCCAGTTAGAATTAAGTTTTGCGGAACAGGAAGAAACAGCAATAATTAACCCGGCTGAAATGGCCGGAAGGTCACGCGATGCGTTTGACGCATGCGCACGACGACAC